TTCGGCCAATCACAACGCACTGGATAGCTGGCCAATCAGAGCACACCTCGCTTTTCAGAAAGGCGGGGCATAGAGAAACAATAATGTACAGTATGTGGAAAATAATGTTTTTTTAACCGCATAAACACATTTCATTACACCAAATACACAAAATAATGTTCTTTTTAGCAACATCATATGACCCCTTTAAATAGCACGGGTATATAAGGCCAAAAATACATTGTATGGGTCAAAATGATCGATTTTTCTTTTATGCCAAAAATCATTAGGATATTAAATAAAGATCATGTTCCATGAAGATATTTTGTATATTTCCTACCGTAAATATATCAAAACTTAATTTTTGATTAGTAATATGCATTGCCAAGAACTTCATTTGTACATCTTTAAAGGCGATTTTCTCAATATTTAGATTTTTTTGCACTCTCAGATTCCAGATTTTCAAATAGTTGTCTCTCGGCCAAATATTGTCCAATCCTAACAAACCATACATCAATGGAAAGCTTATTTATTCATTTCTTTGTATGACCAGTTTAAACAAACGGTCACTCTGCCCCGCTTCTGAAGATCTGCGTTTACCTGAATAGTTTAGTTCCTCTAACTACCTGCCTATGATTTTGAGGTGAACAGAACCCAAGTGTTCCTGTCAAGTTATGGCCCACCTGCCAACTCACTGGCTGTGATGTTTGCCGGTGCAGGATGGGCAGATGAGGGTGGTGGGGGTGGGGGTGGTGGACTCGGCGGCGGGCGGCTGTTTTCTCCTCCTGAAGGTCCTGCGGGTTCCTTTCGGGGAACTTTGGCAACAGGGAAATCCTCAGGCACTCCGCTTTGCCTCTGCCGCCGCCGCTTCTTGCTCCAGAGCTCATGACAGTCTTGCCAATGAGGCAAACTAAAAAGAAAAAATATTACGAATGTATATTTACTAGTATAAACAGCCATATAATCAGCTAGTCATTAATATGGAGTTAAATCTCATTATATAGTCTAACAACATTTAATTGCAGCTACATTTCAAACTAAATTACAAAACGTGGTGTGACTTTACCACTCGTTCCACAAATGTAGTTTCATTAACACCATAAAATACGATTTAAATCACAT